ATCTCTACAAAAAATAAAAATAAAAAGAGAGATACAAAAAAAAGAGAAAGACCTTAAATCAATACTCTAACTTCAGACCTTAAGGAACTAGAAAAAGCAGCACAAACTGGACCCAACAAAACAGAGGGAATAATGTCTAGAGCAGAGATAAGTGAAATAAAGAATAAAAATAAGGCAGGTGCAGTACCTCACACCTGTAATCCCAGCACTTTGGGAGGCTGAGGCAGGAGGACTGCTTGAGGCCAGGAGTTCAAAGCCTGTGCAAGACAGTGAGACCCCATCTCTATGAAATTAAAAAAAAAAAAAAAAAAATAGCTGGGTTTGATGATGCATGCCTGTAGTCTCAGTTACTCAGGAGGCTGAGGTAAGCGGATCACTTGAGCTCAGGAGTTTGAGGTTGCAGTGCATATGATCACACCATACCACTGCATCATTCCAGCCTGGGTAACAGAGCACGACCCCATCTCTCAAAAACAAACAACAACAAAAACCAAGAAGAATAAAAATAGTAGAAAGAATCAACAAAACCAAAAATCTGTTATCTAAAAAGATCAACAGAATTTACAAACTCTTGCTACACTGACTGGGAAAAAAAGAAAGAAGATGAAAATAAATAAAATCAGAAATGAAACCAAGGATATTACTACTAATTTTACATAAATGAAAGGATTATAAGAGAATAATATGAATGACTATAAACCAGCATATTAGATAATTTAGATAAAACAGACAAATGTTTAGAAACGTTAAAGTACGAAAACTGACTCAGAAAAAATTAAGTCTCAACAAACCTATAATAAGAGATTGAATTGTTAAACAAAAACCTCCAAACAAAGAAAAGCCCAGTATCACATGGCTTCATTGGCAAATTCTACCAAATATTCAAAGAATTAACACCAATCCTACTCAAACTCCTTCAAAAAACAGAAAAGAATGGAACACTTCCTAATGTTCTATGAGGCCAACATCACCCTCACACCAAAGTCAGAAAAAGATATGATAAAATTCAGGCTGGGCATGGTGGCTCACACCTGTAATCCTAGCACTTTGGGAGGCTGAGGCAGGAGGATCCCTTGAGTCCAGGAGTTGAGACCAGCCTGGGCAACACAGGGACACTTGGTCTCTTTAAAAAATATATATATATATGATAAGAAAACTATAAACCAATATCCCATATGAATATAGAAACAAAAATCCTTAAGAAAATAACAGCAAACTGCAAACTGGATCCAACAATACATTAAAAAGATTATATACCATGACCAACATTTATCCCAGGAATGCAAGAGTGGTTAAACATAAGGAAATCAATCAATGTGATACACCACATTATCATCTCAATAGACACAAAAAAGATATTTGAAAAAATTCAATACCCTTTTATGATTTAAAAAGAAAAACACTCAGCAAAAGCTCAAAGACACTATGCTAAGTGTATAAGTCAGTCACAAAAGGATAAATATATGATTCCACATATATGAGTTTCTTAGAGTAGTCAAATTCATAGAGACAGAAAATAGAATGAGAGGCTGGAGTGAGGGGAGATGGGAAGTTAGTGTTTAATAGGTACAGCATTTCACTTTGGGATGAAAAAATTCTGGAGACAGATCACAGTGATAGTTGTACAACAACGTGAATGTACTTAATTACACTAACCTGGACATTCTTAACGGGTTAAAATGATAGAATTTTATGTTTTGGGTATTTTACCACAATAAACACACACATACACACATATTCACCAAACTAGGAATAGAAGGAAACTTCTTTAACACTAAAACGGCATTTATGAAAAACTCTGAATAGGGCATGGTGGCACATGCCTGTAGTCCCAGCTACTCAGAAGGCTGAGGCAGGACTGCTTGAGTCCCGGGAGTTCAAGGCTGCAGTGAGCCATGAACATGCCACTGCACTCCAGCCTGGGCAACAGAGTGAGACCTCATCTTAAAAAAAAAAAAAAAAAAAAAAAAGTTGGCTGGGCATGGTGGCTCACACCTGTAATCCCAGCACTTTGGGAGGCCAAGGTAGGTGGATACCTGAGATCAGGAGTCAGATCAGCCTGGCTAACATGGCGAAACCCTATCTCCACTAAAAATACAAAAATTAGCTGGGCTTGTTGGCATGCGCCTGTAGTCCCAGCTACTCGGAAGGCTGACGCAGGAAAATCGCTTGAACCCGGGAGGCAGAGGTTGCAAGTGAGCTGAGATCGCGCCACTGAACTCCAACGTCGCCAACAGAGCGAGACTCCATCTCAAAAAAAAAAAAAAAAAAAGTCAAGAGAATAGTGACAAGTACCTAACACATGAAAAGAAGGATGAAAAAAAACAAAAAAGCCGGGCATAGTGTTATGTGCCTGTAGTGTAAGCTACTCGGAAGGCTGAAGTGGGAGGATCACTTGAGCCCGGGAGATAGAAGTTGCACTGAGCCGAGATGGTGCCACTGCACCCCAGCCTGGGTGACAGAACAGGACCCGTCTCAAAAAAAGAAAAGAGTACTTAAAATGTTGGCACACTGTGCTCTTGAGAACTCAAAGTGATGTTTGAAAACTTACGCATTTGATTTTGATGTTGAAAAAACCTAAATGTGTAAATATGCGAGCCATTCTAATGTCTATGAAAACCACATGGCATGATTTGTAAAGCGCTCTTAATTAAATGTAAGATGGCACAGTATCAAGAGCATACGGTATTGCACCTAGTAGATTAACAAATGTTTGATGATGTTATATTTAATTATTTCCAGCCTAACCTCTGGTAACCTAAACAAAATCAAACTTTTTGCCGTGAATATCTTTACACAAGCAACAGCATAAAAAATTGTCAAATATTATGTCAGATGCTCATGTGTTAAGTTCAGGGTCAGGGCACTTACTTTCAGACCAAATTAACCTCTATTTTTACGCTCAGACTTATATAAACAAGGACGGGTAAAACCAAAGTTAAATTTCTCATGACTAAGAGGACTGCATGATAGAACATATAGAACTCAAGTTTCCCTGAAAATATTTACATAAGGATAGTTTTTTTTCCCATTTTTCTTAATTTTTAAATTTTTTTTTTTTTTTTTCTTAAGAGGTCTCACTCTGTCACCAGGCTGGAGTAGAGTGGTGCAATCACAACTCACTGCAGACTCAAACTCCTGGGCTCAAGCAATCCTTCCACCTCAGTCTCCTGAGTAGCTGGGGCTACAGGAACATGCCACCAGGCCAGGGTAATTTATCTATTGATTTATTTGTGGAGAGCAGGTCTTGAACTCCTGGCTTCAAGAGATCCTCCAGTCTCTACCCCCTCAAAGTGCTCGGATTACAGGCATGATTATTATTTAGAATAACAGTCTTTATTATTCTAATTACAAGTAAAGATTCCTGAAGATGCTGAAGTATTAAATTCTCTTTTTTTTTTTTTTTTTTTTTTTGAGACAGAGTTTTGCTCTTGTTGTCCAAGCTGGAGTGCAATGGTGTGATCTCTGCTCACAGCAACCTCCGCCTCCCAGTTCAAGCGATTCTCCTGCCTCAGCCTCCCAAGTAGCTGGGATTACAGGCATGCACCACCACACCCGGCTAATTTTTTGTATTTTTAGTAGAGACGGGGTTTCACCATGTTGGCCAGGTCTCAAACTCCTGACCTTGTGATCCGCCCACCTCAGCCTCTCAAAGTGCTGGGATTACAGGTGTGAGCCACCATGCCCGGCCTGAAGTCGTAAATTCTAACTCATAATTTTACTTCAGTGAGGAAAGTCCACTTTGAATTAGCAGGAATAAAGGAACTTTACATGTCTCTTAAAAGATCTCATTATCAGAATGAAAAATGCATCTACTTTCCCCCTAAAAAGCATCTTTCCCCTATGAACTTTTATAAACCCAATGAAAATGTTAAGTTCTAGTCTCTTGACTCACTTACTTAAAGTCTTATAATGCATTAGGAAACCCAATTACAGTCCATCTACCCCTAAGACACAGCTGTTTCAACACTTCCATACAGGATTCTTGCACATCTATAAATGAAATTAACTATATTGGAGGAATAAACTAGCCAATGCATGCAGAAAGTTATATAGGCAGTAATGTTGCTTTCAAAGGAGTTTTTGTTTTGTTTTTCAAATGGAGTCTCACTTTGTTGCCCAGGCTGGAGTGCAATGGCACCATCTCTGCTCACTGCAACCTCCGCCTCCCGGGTTCAAGTGATTCTCCTGCCTCAGCCTCCCGAGTGGCTAGGATTACAGGCCCGCAGCACCACACCCGGCTAATTTTTGTATTTTTAGTATAGACGGGTTTCACCACATTGGCCACGATGGTCTCGAACTCCTAGACCGAAGTGATCCACCCGTCTCAGCTTCCCAAAGTGCTAGGATTACAGGCGTGAGCCACCGAACCCGGCCGAAAGGAGATATATCATCTGTTATCAACAATTGGCTTGATACGTAAAGATCCAGAAGCATCGTAAGTTTTCTTCGTCACTTTTTCATTTCACAGCTTATGTTTTAAAAGTCAGAAATCCCAGAATTAAGTAAAGTCTTAAAGCAAGCTAGTGATAAGATATAACTGCACGGACTTCTTCATCAAGGACTTCCATATCTTTCCAACAAGAAACGAACGAGTATTCATCATTAAGCACCAGCTCCCAATTTCCCAACTTCCTAGATAGCCTTCCTATGCTGTATGTAACCCCTTCTTCACATAACGTCAGACTTACCCCCACATACACCATCAGTCCCCAAGTCTCCAATGCACATGGGCACAAAAGCCTCTCAACATTCATCTGGTTGCTAATCAGGGACCACTCTTCCTTCTTCCACTGATCCTGCGCAGGCTTCATATAGCCTACAATCGCTTTTTCCATTTCTTCCACAACACTACTCAAAGCGACAAAGGAACAAGTCCCCTTTCCACAATCGTAGACACTTTTTTAAAACTCTATACACCTCCTTCCCACTCAACCACTTTTCTTAGTCTCTATCCGCCTTTGTTATTCAGGTGTAGGGTCTGGGAAAATCTCACTCACCTCATGCTATAGGCACCAGCACCCAGTTCCTGGCCGATCCCAGACAGGCTAGCATCAAAGTCCTGCACCAACCCGGATTCAATCACTTCGTCGGCCAGAGGCAGCTTCAGAGCCCAGGCCATCCTGGCTCCTTCCCTGCCCCAGGAGACACTGTGTCTTGTACAAAGGCGCGGAGGGTAATTCTACCCAACAGGAGTAACACAGTGGGAAACTACAAACCAAGGTTTCCCACGGAGTGCCCACCAGCCACCCCCAAGCCCGACCAGCACTGCTCGTATAACTAATCTCCCGTATCCTTGGCTGCTAGTTCTTGGTTGCCCCAGGTTCCAAATCCCCCCTGCTCAGGTCTCAGGAACGTGAGGACCCCTTTGCTCAACTACTGCAGACTTCCCAGAAGCAGCTCTGGACTCCCGCACTCCCACTCCTTAAGATACCCTCTTGAGAGTTCGTAGTGGTGGCTTGCTGCTTCCCAGACAGACCAGCAGCAGCCGCAGGAAGCTAGCCCGGCGCTCCCACGCTGCTTTTGCACCTTTTCCCCCGCCCCTTTCTGCTGGAGGCCCCCTCCCTCCCAGGGCTCGCTCTCTCTTTCCCCTCCAGGCCTCGCTTCCGGTCAGTCCCACGATCACTTCCGGTCACCCCCTCTGAACCCCACGGCTTAAAACCAAATCCAGGTTTCCGCTGAGCCGACTCCTTGCTCTCTGTAGCCCCCCACGGCCTGGAAACATGGAAGGAGAAAGTCCAGCACAGGCGTGAAACCTGGACTCCCCAGGCCCTTCCACCGCCCGCCGCCCCAGCGCCAACCAATCATGGCGTCCTCTTTCTTCGCCTGCCCGGCGAACATGACGTCACGCTGTCGCTCGCCTATAAAGAAGAGACCTCGTCAGTCTCGGCAGCGATGATAGGCGGGCTGCGCCTCGGCTCTGCCCCCGAGATGGGCTGGGCGATCACGGAGAGGACCCGGCGTGCAAGTGTCCGGGTTTAAACGTCTGTCCGTGTAGTTACCAGAGCTCTGGTATCCGCTACCCATCAAGTCATCACCCTGAACCGTGGAAGGAGCCCTCCTTCTAGCCTTATGAACCCACTCCACCCCTGGCAGACTCTTGACTACTTCCCAAACGCTCCTTACGTGCGCACGCTTGCTCCTGCTCATCCTCCTGTCTCCTTAAACTCACCTCTTCCGAGGTCGAGACCCTGCATAAATCCCACTTCCCTCTATATTCGTTTTATCTTAGGCGTCCTCTCTAATGCAGTTGAACAGAAAAGCATGAGATCAGTAAAAATGTGGTTTTTAGACCGGGCGAGGTGGCTCACGCCTGTAATTCCAGCACTTTGGGAGGCCGAGGTGGGCGGATCACCTGAGGTCGGGAGTTCAAGACCAGCCTGACCAACATGGAGAAACCCCG